AGCAGCTGAAGTGTTTTAATACAAGTTATGCTTTTCTATTTCAAGACAATTTTCATGTGGACTGTGACCGCTCAGACATGCTTCAGGGTATCAAAGGATATTAGAACACCCAAAGCGGGGATAAGGTAAAATGATGGGTGGCTGCTTCGTCGTAAAGGGGATTATGTGGATTGTTATGCAAAATGGATAGTTCTAGAATGAGGGCAAACAACGTAAACTGAACTGCAAGTGATTACAAGATTTCTCAGCTGCTTCGTCCAACAACTGAAATGCTATCGAGATCTGATGATTGGGCCGTACTAGTGCATTCAGTAGCCAATGCATGAGCAATGCAGTTGCTGATCTAGAACCAGCCTGAGTATCTCCGGGACAGACCTTGCGTTTGATGCATCAGCACTCCTGAGCAGATTTTACCCGAGCTCATAGTGGCAGAGTCGTTTTGTCCGAATAATCCCTGACGCGGAGAACGTTTGCAGAGCAGTGGGAACCCCGGGATCGAACCACGATGGAGAAACGTATGAGACTCTCTGCGAGATTTTTGGCCTCCGCTCTTTGAGTTGTCACGCGGCGAATCCACTTCGTTAAGGGCAAGGCTTGCCCTGGACTTGCTTCCATTAGGTGAGCGGAGTATGCAACGGCCACAAGCACATATGATACCCTGATTAAGAAACATTCGCGTGGATTTTAACTGGGCAGCTGAAATCTCGCAAAAAGACATCATATATTGCTCTCAACCTAGGTGAAGGTACTACCGCACTGTGCCCATGGCCCTCATCAGACAAATGTCTCTTTTTTCGAAATTCTGTATCATGAAAGACAGTGCCCAAGTGAATAAAAGCCGCCTTTGGTGTTTTGGCCGCTTCGCTGACAATGCAAACGATCCCAGGAATGCCAACATGTCTGTCTCGCAGACGGACTCATTATATTGTTTTTGTTTGACTTCAATCTTGTCTTCCAAACAGTGCGATATCCAGATGGTATGCCTGGAACAGTCCTAAATCGCACGCTTTACAGAAATTAGCGTTCTGTCTTGAATCGATGAAAACACTATGTTTTGTAGACCTATGGCCTATGGGCCGATACGGTGAAGTTGTGAAGGCCCGAGTAGACAGGAGGAAAAAACCGCGGAAAGTCTATGCCCTCAGACTCAGAGGCTCAGATGACGGTGAGCCAAACTGAGAGGTGGTCATAGAATGGGTCTATCGTACATGTACAGTAAGGTGCTGCGAGACAGATGCAGACCCAAAAGCTAAGGCTCTGTGTTCGGCGGACTACAGTAGGGTATTAGGAAGTCTCATGAGACGATTGGCTTCATACTGTATGATGCTGTTTTTACCTCGAATACAATCACACCTGTACGATTTATGGCTACAAGTGCCACGTGTGAGCCTGAACCCTGATTGCAATACTGTATTCGGCCACACGGCCCAATCACCATACACCTACGGAATCTCCAGTCGCCGTTTGGCCTCAATACCCGCCTGGCAATGCTTTGAGTAACATGTTGTTTATTACAGCATTCTATGACTACCGTAAGGATTACACTTGCCTCAAGATGATGATGATGGAAAGTTTCTTAAGAATAGAATGAGGCACTTTGACCTCTTCTAAGGCCAATTGTCATCAAGATACAAGAAGGGCGTACATGGCTGAGGACAGTACCTGGGGTATGAGAAACAAGTGCAGTGCGCACTGAAAGTTTAGAACCACCCGTCAAACTTTCAGTTTTCACATGAGTACAAATGCTAGGGTAGACAACACTATCTCAAATTAAAGAGCGAAGAAGCGCGATCAACGATTGTAGCGGCCTCAATAGTTTTGTACATTTAGTATAAATCCCCGAGTGCCACGGCACTCTAAGTATAGAAAGAAACAATTCAGTTCTGCCCAAACCCATGTTTATGTCGTCTTCAATAAAGAATTGCAGTCCCCTTCCTCTGTATCACGTCGACATAATATGTCTGCATCAACGCGACAAAGTTGTGATTGATGCTATGGTCTATATTCTTCAAAAAATCAACGACAGCGTCAAAAGCTCTACGGTACTTTCATGCCGTCTTCTTTTGCCAAAACGACTCCTCTATTAGACACTCCACAGATTTTCTGTAAAACGAAGGCCCGGCGAGGGACAATACAGCGCAGTACACTGCGATGAAGCGGCAATCAATGACCGCAGCAGTAAGATTGATGCATCAATTCTTTACTTTTCCCCCTGAGCGATCTGAAAAAACTGTCTCTTCTTCCTAGTGCACGTAAAAGAAGATTATATCCAATTATTGGACGTAATCCCCCGAAAATTATTCCGTTCAAAAAAACAGTTCAGAGACATTATATCCAGTCGATATGGCATCCCGGAGGCCATATCGACTGGACCTTGTTCAAGAACCCATAGGGCCGAAGTAAATCCATCACACGCGAAGTGCTCGATGACATGTGCCGCAGAATGACCATCGAGACCTGGCCGCCGTACTGCACCGTAGTGGGGATATTTCTTCCGTATTTTCTCCCCAACTCATACTGTTCTACACTGTACGTGCGCGTGATGCCACGGACCGGGAAGTAATAATTCTGCATAACTAACGCATATTCGACGGGTACTACCCACAATCCAAAGCAATGTATGGAAGAAGGGACGTATGAAGATATTCAACGAAAAAATGCGGCTCCACAACCACGAATGAGAAGCTTGAATAATAGAGCACTCGGGCCGCCGTCACGTGGACGGCTGCTGTTGAAGGGGTGGGTCTTGTGCGTTGTCGGACACGCCGTTTGCGGGTCTCGAAGGGAGGCACCCAAAGCTGAGTGAGAGGTTTTTGAGCGGACGTCGCGGAGCGATGATGGCTATGCATGCGTCCGTTAGTGCGAGGTGTATGCGACGGTGCCGAACCTGTTGTGTAAAGGTACAGTAAAGCCTACTGTGCGATACAAGTGGTGTGAGCATGAGGGAGTGTTAAGCCGAGAATTGCTTTTTCTCTCTTGCTCACCGCAATCAACGATGGGTCTCCAGACTTGGTTTGCTGTGCATGCTTGCCTGAGGGCGGTGGCGTGGGTTGTGGACCAGGAACGTCAAGATATAGGGGATACAGGATCGAAGAAATGAAGGAGAGCTTTGCTGCTCTGCTGTTTCGTGTAATCCGAAATGGGAGCTGAAGCGTCGTGAGACTATAAACAACTATCACAATGTTATGATCTTTTTGCCGGTGTGCCTTTTTCCAAGAGGCTATTGATTCATGAGCGAGAGAGGTTGTGTAAATGTTACCATCACGTCTGAAACAAGGATGGGTCACACACCTTGGAGGTAACGGGGATGATGGACTCGTGTGGAACTGTAACAATGACGGACCAGCAGGGGTTGTACAGAGACCTGACGCAGAGGCCTTTTCTGTTGGTGTGCACTCGTGAGTTTCTCGTTCCAGCATTGTTGAGGCACGCCTTTGACAGCCCACGTGCTTTGGCCTCATTTGCATAACGCCCTCTCGCGTCTGCCAACCCCCGTCTCGGAGACGAAGTTCCGACCCCATCTCACAACAACTCCTCATCCCCTCGGCTACAGCCCTTGTTCCCATTTTTGACCTCTGTTGTCCCCACGCTCATAGGACCCTCATCTCTATCGCGCCGTGAGTACAGTACAGTGCTCGTCGCTACTGCCTCGCTCTTCATTGGATAGTTGTTGCTCCACATTTAAACAGCAATCCAGTATGCCCCCTCCCGACTGCCATTGACGCACTCCTTCGCACTAGCGCCCATACACCTTCAACCTATGCACACTTCCCCTCCAGTCGCGCTCTGTGTGACAGTCCAAGCAATTGCTTTTAAGAAAACCCCTCCCTTGCCTTGCCTATACTCCTTCACGTACTGTACCTTTAAAAACACACACCTCTAAAGTGAACAAATCCCATCCCATTAATAGCACTCTTCTCCAGACCCTCAGAAGTGCCTGTTCCATACATGCCCCCGTTTCCGGTCGGCCTCGAACAAACCGTCAAACAATTCCTCCGAAGGAAGAACTGTACACTCTTCAATCCAATCTCGACACCAGCACACTAGATGACACAATTGAGTCATATTTCCAACAAATGCCCTGCTAATCCGAACCAAGTCTCTCTTTAAAGCAATCCCTCCTCTCCTTCTTTCATCATTACAGGTCGCACTGACCTTCATTTTCGGGAAGAATCTAAGTCTGTGTTTCGGTCATTTTCCCTCACTTTTGAACTTGACGCTCCGCTCCTCATCCCCCGAGCCCCCCACTGCCTTGCACTGCCCTTCACTGCCCCATCCCCACCTCCAGCAACCAAGCTCTAGCTCACCCCTACGTCCCTTGCTCAGAAACAACTCAACCAACGATTGACAACCCATATCCAGTCACCTTCAGAGATACATTTTAGCTCTCGTTCAATCTCGAAACACCACTGTGTTTGTTGCAGCTTAAGACTTCATCATCAATATTTCGCCACGCCGCTCCGCTACTGCGAAACCGCGACGCTCAAATTCTTCATCAGGCTTAAGGATCTCCCCCCTACTGACAAAAGCACGAGCAAATACTGGCGCCAATTCAAGAGCAAACTAGTCTCTGTTTTAATTGGCACCCAGGCCTCCTTTCGCTGTTTTCCGTTGCTTCCGTCATTTGCAGTTGTCATTTTCTCGATTTGAACAGATTTCCAAACACTGGACAAACTCAACCGTGTGCGAGTCACTTCAAGTGCGAATCCGTCTCATTGCCAAACTCTAATTGAAAAGTTCAGCACCGCTCAAAGTTTCGACATCTATAATATTGGCTTGATTTCGAAGAAGAGATTTTCAACTCCAATCTACGTTCAAACGTGAATCGCTTTCCCGGTTATGCTTGGTGCAACCTGAGGATGTTTTGTGACTGGCAACTTGGGCTCCCACCGAAAATTCGAAAACCCCGATCCTTGCACTGTAGCTCAAATACAGCTTCAACACGCTCCCCATCTTCGTCTACTTCAGAGGAGCTCTTGCAATTACATTTTGAGAGAGCAATGCAAGCCCAAAAGAAAGGAAAGCCTCCAGGGACTCAGCGTCCGGACCGTGGTCGACAGAACCACCATTCTCAGATGAGACATCTTCAAATGCAACAGCAGTTTCAACAAGAACAGAAGCAGTCCTTGTTCCAAGTCGATGAAGGCCACAGTGATGAACCGTACAAATATTCATTCGAAGAAATTTCACATTCTTATGCAAACCCCGTCTGGGATCCAGTGGATAGTAGACATATGTCTTCAGCAATGAGTTCTCAAGACGTAAATCGCATGCAAGGCGTAAGCGCACCTACGGCCCAAAGGGACCTTGTGTGGCGCCCGAAACCTTCGCAAGGGATGGGTTTGGTTGCAGCTAGTTTGAGTGGTCAAACGATTGAACATAGCCAGAACCTACAGAAGCCCATTTCTGAACAAGTGCAAGAGATTTGCCCACTAGCCAACCAACTGTCCCATGCAGAGGCCCACGCTTTACAAGAATCGACACAAATCAAACAAGAATTGCAGGAGATCGAAAGACAGCGACTGTCATCTAGCAGATATGTGCAGACCAGTTCTCACCCGCCAAATGTCAGTGTTTCTGCTCAACTTCATCTCTCCCCAAATGGCGAGGTTGCACCCCGCGCGCCCTATCCGACGGAACAGCAACACCTCCTGAACCTACAGCAGCAATTTCCTGATACTGATGTTTACAATCAGCGAGACCCTCACGGGCAACAAAAGTTTCAAGCGCTTGGCATGGATCTTCACGCCACTTCTACATACAATTCACGGTCAAATACCAACACGTGGAAAGTTCCAAGTAACTTAGCCTTTCGACATACGCTTGCAGGGTCCCGTCAAGTTGAGGAAGTACCTGTAGCATCCTTGTATCAACCTTTCCAATGGAATGGTCAAAAAACTAATCACCGGATTCCTTCGGAAGACGTCTTCGAAGACAAGAACCAGTACGTGCGCAAGGCCTCTGATGTAGCTGATAGGGCGAAGCTAGCTCATCGCGGAGTATTGAAGGAGGCACAGCGCAGTAAAGAAATGGAAGCAGAGGCCAGGGGAGAGCCGCTGTCAGCAAAAGAGAAAGAACGGGAACGCAGCCGAAGAGAGAGCGCTGTTACTAGAAAACGAGCCGAGATATACATTCAAGAGCTAGAAAAAACTGCAAGAAATGTACCGTACCTAGAGAATACTATTCAGCGTCTCCTAGCAGAGTGCCAGCGACTTAGGGTGATGGTATCACCTGGTGGGCATGATCCCGTGGAAAAGCATCATCTTTCGGCACCAATGTCTCTTTTTTCACGCTCAGAAGGCACCAAGTCAGAGCCCGGGATGGTTGAAAGCCCGAATACCTCAAGTGCAACGAGGGTAGTGGGTGAACTGAAAGAGCTTGATTTATAGGGATTTGTCTAACAGGGAAACTGCGGACGCGACAACGTTGAGGTATGTTTCATTCCAAGTCTCGTGCTTGATCCTTGAAGTGATATTTTTATTCCCAATAATGGTCTTGGCGCACGTGAACTTCAGCAACACCTACAATTTTGGATATGATGTCCGATTTCTTGCTCGGAAATGAAGGCCTCACCGGAAAAGACCGACGCGACAGTCATCACGGCAGATCTGTGAAGATCCGTAGAGACGATTTTCCTTTGGCCCACACACACACACACACACAATGCAAATAGTACCACTCCGAACACTGTATTTCTGAATGCAAACCTAAACAATCCTTTCAATAAAAGAAACCAGAGTAGAAGGCTGTCCGTCTTTGCTGTTCACTAAACTTTTGGAAGAACCTTTCGACACGCCCCTTCTTCCCAGGAAAATCGAAAGAAACAGAACTCGGGATGTTGCGCAGCTGGCAGGTCGCGAGAGATGGCCATGATTCACGACAATGCAAAGCCTGTATTGTACCTCATACTAATTCAAGTTTTCTGAAATGCGAAGTTGTCGCGTTCGAAATCACTATCTCACGGAAAAAGTGAAAAAGATCATAACATTTCGGTAAGTCTTCGTTTCCGAAAACCCCCCACAGAATTGAGGGCTTCTGCTTGAGATCGTGCACAGGGCGTTCCTGACAGGAAACTGCTCCGCCTTTCGAAGAGAGTCAAAGATGTGTTCACGAGACAGAGGAGCCCGACTAAACTAAATGTTGTTCATTAGACTAGCCCAAGCAATCATTCTCAAATTTTAAATCGGTGAATCCGAGAAAAGACGTCCCGATGGGCCAGCTTCGAGGTAGGGTAGAGGCAGTGGTCAACTTTACCTTTATTGAGGTGCTGTATGAGAATGCCAGCACACCGATTTTCGTCAAGGTCAGCAAACGTCATTTCTGATCCCACCTCAGATCACATTGAAATAAATCATGTAAGCAGTTTATACCAAGCGATGTCAGTGCATCTCCTAGGGCGCCATGGTTGTTTTCGCATGATTCTTGTGCGTCAGCGCAACAAAGAAGTTTCGTGAAGATGAGGATCGCATATCAAGACCGACGTTACGCAGCAATGAAAAGTAGTAAATATCTGCCGTCCGAAATATCGACCAATATCGACGATCTGGCGCAGCCCGTGTTAAAGCGGTAAATTCTGATGGACATCGGGGCATACCAATATATCGCGCAGGCTTTATCTAATGGCTTGGCTTCCGTTGCAACAGTGGGATGAAAATATGACCAGGGGTCAACAGGCTCACCCGTCGCGCTACAGGTTGCTACACTCCGTTGCGAGCAATTCCGCCTGGGAAAACTATTATCATATCCTCCCAACCACTCGAGGATTATCTAGCGAGGATTATCTAGCCATCGAAAAAACGCTCGTGAGACATTATTACCTTGAGACACTGGATGGGCGTTACAAAAACGACGCGTCTGACGCTCAAGTGGGAATGCGACATTCAAGGGTTGGGCTACGTTGTGGAACACGAATGGAATCCTTGAAAAAAGAAAAAAAAATCTTTTACGTTTTCGAGGCATTAAGCTGCAGTCCCTTCGTCCAACCGCTAACGTCGTTTCCACAGCCACTTTCGGAAGAATCCCTTTTCACTGTGACCGGATGACGTATGTCCACCTCCACTTGCGTTCCCAGTGCTATTCGGCAGTGACGTGGCAAACGCTGGTGTAGCCCCGGACTTAGATCCGAACATTTTGCTCGCCGAGTTGTGGAAGAACGAATTGGAAGCACGCGCATTTGGTTGCGGTTGTATGTCGCTCTGAGCCCCGAGCCTCTTGTGCGCTGCCGCAGATATCGCTTTCAGATTCTCGTTTGCCGGTCTATTCCTTGTCCAGGGCGCATTTCCTCTGAACGACGGAAGCCCCAACTCCGTTTCATATGTTACAGGTGTAGTGTTCCCGACATCGGGTCCACTGTTGCTCATGCCGGCTTCTGAAATCGCATGCGTTCCGTTCTGTTCATGCTCCGACGACACTTCCTGCGGCATCGCAAGGTTCTTGGGATACCCTGCTGTTGGCAGGCTGCCCATACTTGCGTAGTCAGTGACACCCACAGCCGCGGATAGGGATCCATCGTTTCCATCCGTTGACCTTGTGTCTGTGGGACTTCGATATGGTCTTGCATGGCTTTGATCGCTAATTCCAAACTCTTCCGCACTCATTGTTGATGGGCTTCCAGTCACTCCTAGCTGGTCAGATTGCAAACTTTCGGCGGTCTTTTTCCTCCTAGAGCGCAGGCTCCTAAGTGTACTGAACGTCTTCTTGCGCGGCTCCTTGCCTTCTTTGCCCCATCCCGTCAAAACCTGCTCCTCGTTCTTCGCACTGGCAGCGGCGGCATGGCGTTTCGAGCGAGACTCCACAGACAATTGTCGAGGAAGCAGGGGCAGTATCCCATTCCACGATTTGCTGCGTGACTCGTATCTATTGGTTCTTCCAGATGACTTTTTGGCAACGTTGATGTTCGCATTTAGGGTCTTCGCGCTGGGGCTCAGATAACTTCCCTCCTGTCGTGTCTCAGCGTGGGAGTTGCTCTCCATGCTGGTTGCATGTGCCAATGACTTCAACGACGGGCCTGTGCTATTCACTGGCCGGGCGCCATCTTGCATAACATCCGAGTTTCCGTATGACGTCTGTACATTTTCCATTGTCGGAGTCAAATAAATGGCCGAGTCTGCGTGTGCCAGTCCTGGATGTGACGAGCGTTTCGTCGCCGAAGCCGCGGCAGAACTCGCCTTCGCGGCAGATATGACAGCCTTAGAGACGGAGAGCTGGCCAGAAGATTGCTCGATGCTTGGCCGTCTGACGTGCTTCATTATGCGAGTCCCTCTAGAGTTCAGTCGCACTCGAGCTCTCTTCTGAGTGCGCGGCATGAACCCATAAAACTCCTGCTCTTCACGATACTTACTCTGGTCCTCAGTAATTTTTTCGTTCGCCTCCTTGAGACTTGTATTAAGTATCTCATCATAAACTTCAATGAGAGCAACCACATCGATATCCGAGTCTCTTCGAAGGGCCTCTAGTGCTTGTTTATACTCATCCAAGGACATGCACATTGGAGCCATCGCGGGCAACAGCTTCGCAACGCGAATCCGCACGTTAGCGACTTGATCATTCGCGAGTTGAAGCATATCAACGGCGAAGAGCTCTGCAAAGCGCTTGCGACTGAACACTTTCATAGCAGAGGTACCCCCATCAAGCATAGCAAGTCGCATCCAAAAAGGACCGCGTGCTGCTTCCTTCCAGTACTGCTGAATGGCGGCATTTCGATCTGTTTCCGATGGAATTTGCCTGATGGCTTTAGCAGTAGCTTCCATTGCTGCCTCACGAACGAGAGGGGTACCTTGCTCCGTTAGCCGATATAGCAGGGGTAGAACATTCCCCAAAAGTGCGTCGGGGGGAATGATTTCGGCGCATTTGCCTAACTGTTCGGCTAAGCTTTCTTGGATGCGCCACTCTCCCTCAGACAACACAGTCAAGTCGTCAAAAACCGGGGCTAGTCTGCGCACCGACGCAGCATCTGTCCCGTCTTTCGCAAACGCACACAAAATGTCGTGGAAATGCGCCAAGGCATTCATTCGCACCATCGGGTTCTCGTCCTGCAGCAAGGAACAGACCGCTGTAAATAAGCCCTCAAAATTTCCCTTCGGGGCTAAAAGAGCAGCCGTCTGATGAATTCCGGCAGCCAAGATCAATCTCACTTCTTCATCGGTATCCTTCGCCAAGTAATCGCACAGTCCGCTCAATTCCAACGCATACCGCTCGCCAAGAGCTTTTGCAACACCAGGTAGATTAAAAGCGCAGTTCCTTCGTATCAATGGCCCATTACAAGTCGCCATTCCGGCATACGCCTTGTAAGCTTCCTTTCGAAATGATCTCTTCGTAATCGAAGCGAGGGAATACGCAAACTGCCCAAAGACCTCCGACGCGACTTCGAGCAACAAGTAAGTATCGTCGTTGACGAGACGCTGGTCTTCGGCAGAATACTTTCGAGCAAAAATGGATAAGCGTTCAAAAACAGGTGGTAGGAGGTCTTTGAAGAGTTTGCTGGGACCGCCCTTTTCGCGATGAGACTCAAGAATATGAGCCATGGTGCGCATAGCTGTGGCTCGAAGTCGCGACTCCTCTGGGGGTTCAAGCAGGCGTTCGATACGCGGCCAGATCTCTGTCTCTGTGTACCGTATGGGCAAAGCGGCTCCCACAGATGCAAGACTTTCAACAATGGTGCCGCGCACCTCAACATCACCGTCCTCAAAGAGTTTAACGGTGCGCGGAAGGATCATCTTTTCAATCCTATTCCGGTCAAAGCATTGAGCTAGTGCGCCCAAAACGCGGCCAGCAATCCTCCTCGAAGTATACAAGGGCTCTTTGGCGTGGACATCAACCAAAGTGATAACGTCTGCGATCTCCTGATTGGACCACTTCATATTCGGCAGGCAATCGACAAGAATGCCTCCCCAAAGGTGGTACAGTTCAACGTATTCCGGGGCGGCTTTCCCCTTTGCAGCCTGGATGACATGGAAAGAAGCGCAAGTGATCATGTTAGCGGTGGTGGGCTTGAGATCGAGTGCGACGACGTCGAAAAGTCGTTGTGCGGATTTGATCTGGAGATCGATATTCCAGGTGTGGACGTGCTGGCATAAGACGGGAATGAGGATTTTCATGGTGTCATTGAGGCAGTGGTCGAGGAGCTGCTGAAGCTCAAACAAAATAAATTCGCGTTCGGAATCTGGGCCGGCGACGAGAATATCGGCCATTTTTTGAACGCTGTAGATGGCCTCCATACTGACGGTTTCCATCATCGTGGTGTCGCCTTCCATACCCTGTTGCGATTAACGTAGGCGGATGAAGACGTAACGTAGGCGGATAGGTGAGAGACGAGGAGAAAAATGGAGCAAGCGAAAAGCGGGAGACGAGGTGTTAGCTATCTCGGTGTGTCAAGCCTAAGTACAAGGCAAAGTATATGCAAGGCGACAACAAGACGCAAGTTGACGGGAAGGCAAAGCAGCGGGTAGAAGGGAAATCGGGAGGCAACTGAAAGCAGAGGGCCAAGAACAACAACTTACGAGAAAGTGATCTTCACCCGGGGGTGCAGGTTGGGAAGCATCGACATCAACAAGGTGTGGCTGGTCGATGACTCCATTCGGAAAGTGGGAGTATTGCCTAGACTCGACGACAGGGGGGGCTCCCTGCGGGAGCGACGGTAGAGGAGAATCCGGGCGTGTAGGCATAGGCGAGTCTGGCCTAGCGGGGGCGACTCTGGGGGAGTGGGGGGGGTTGTGGTCGAGCGGAGTAGAGAGCTCGGGATGCAGAACATCGGCGGAAGGGCGGGGAAGCGGGGAACCCGGGCGAGGCGGATGGTGGGTCGGGGGGCGTTTTGATGGAGCGCGCAACACCGGGGAGACGGGACTAGAGGGCTGCGCGACGTGCTCCGACGCCATGGCTGAGATCGAGGGGAAGAGAGGGGAGGAAGAGAGAATGGAAGGGGAGGGGATGAAAAGAGAGGTCGAAGGTGGATGACGTGAAAGGGTAGAGGAGGGCAAGGT